TGAGCCGTATATAATATTAAAGTGATCAGGTGGGCAGAACATCCCATCTAGTCAAATTCAGTTTAAAAATTAACAAAATCGAAAGCCTAAAAATTAGAATGAAACACATCGGTCAAAATGAATTCAATGATAGGTTATATTTGTGAAAAGATCAATATAGCGACCATAACATGCAAGTAATGTTGACTTTAAACAAGGTTGGTGAAATTCTTGTAACAAACTTATCTGTCAGTAGCCTGCCTCGGCCTAAAAATCGATCGTTTTCGGAGCATAACCTTTAGAACGAGAACTAGAGTTAGAATCTGGGATGGACTAGAAGCTGCACTTCCCACCATCTTTGATATCAACAATTAAAAAACGCCGTCCCTGCAACTTCTTTTGATCTTAACAACTAAAAAAGTGCATTCCTCTTCAAAGAAACAGAGAGAGAGAGAGAGAGGATCCTAAAGTTTTTTCTCGGAGGAGGGTGTATGGTGTCAAAACCCCCTGAAATATTGTGACAAAAAACATAAACAAAATAAATAAACGAAACGCAATAAACAAACATGCAAGCAAAAAATGGAAAGGGAAACTAGCCAATGTTGAAAACCAGACCATGTTTCTCTAAATGGATGGAAGGACCGCTTCAAAAATTCCTTACAAACTATCCTGTGTTTCCCCGATTCGGTGGGGGGGGGGGGGGGGGGGGTCAATGTTTTATTTTGGCTACTTTAATATAAATATTAAATAACGCTGAAAGTTAGGGTTGTGTATCTAAGGCAATTTTTTTTGATAAAAAGAACTACAAAAATGAAGAAAACAGCCCAGTCACAAATACAAAAACAATAAAACAAAAGAAAAAGAAAATAAATTAAACGTTATTAATGTTGTGCATAACTTAATAAGCACGTGCATCATGCGTTAAACTCTCACCATTTTCCAAATACTAATATTAGGAATTTTAAAATTCAAACAAATGAAGTGTTGTTAGCAAAAAAAAATTAAAAATAAACAAATTTATGAACTAAATTTTATATTGTTTAACTATGTTTATTTACATATACAAATGTATACTTCTTTTTATAAATATTACACGAAATATTGCAATATTAAGCTACATGTAACTTTGAAATCTCAGTTTTTTTTAAAAATATTTCATTCTAAGAATATAACTGAATTACAGAATTAAGTGTTCATTGATTACGTTGGTGTCGGAAGCAAATTGAAAGTGCGGGGGGGGGGTGCTAATTGAAAAAGAAAGAAAAATTCAAATCTAAAAAAAAAAAACTGACAAAAAAAAAATCCATTGTCCGATCTAGTAGTCCAAACCCGAAAATCCTATTTGGGGGTGGGGGTGGATCCAATATCTGTTTTTTAAACAATAATACTTACTCTTCTTTTTTTACTACACTGTAACTTGCCTGTAGAAAGCAGGGGGGGACTAACCTAATTTCACATTGTTCGATGCCTATATTATGTCTATCTTTGCAAAAAAAAGGGTAGGCATCCCTAACTCCCCTCCCCTGTACCAACGCCTATGAATTAAATCACAGTTGTGAAAACCAAGTCATAAATATGTTTTTTTTTAGGCTGTTGAATTTTGAACCGGTTTCATGATCAAAATTCCACGATCCGGCTCAGTTTTCAACGGACTAGGGTCTAAATTCAACACGTTTGGTCTCACTATTCAACGTTGAAAAATGACCCCCGGGTCAATTTTCAACTCGGGTCAAAATTCAACGTTACACCGGGCTTATTGCTTCTGTACTTTGATTAATTAAGGTCATCCGAAAGACCCGTGACTTTCACTTCTAGTGCCGAGCGCTTGGCGAAGGAGCAATCACTACCTATGTTTACATATTAGGTATGACGCAGCGCCGCGAACGAGAATTGAACCCAGGCCTCCCGATCACGAAGCGAACGCTCTACCACTAGGCTACCGTGACCGGTAAATATTATTTTAGAAGGTGTTTAGAACACCATATATAGACATTACAAGTTAAATTGATGCAAAGCATCAAATCGGCCGCAAACAAAATTTAGCATAAACAAATTTCTTTTACAATTTTCAAAGTGTCCATGAAAGGAAAGCACGTCAAGATACTAGTACTCAAAGGTGAATTAGTTGATTCATTTTTATTTTTGGCTGTCTTCAAAGCAAAATAAATAATTAATTAAAATAAAAAAATAGACATTTCCTCCTTTTGCTTATAAATAGATTCATCTTTGTAAAAAGGGCAGCAATAAATGATAAGAATTTATTGCCATCAAAATAAAGATGTAGGTATCTCAAGATGAACCAGGTGCTGATACCCTGGATCTTGGTCACGTGATAGTGCCCATGGCTGTGCTGCAATGCGCAGTACAAAATGTAGAAAAATTTCTTTGTGTTATTTGCAGCCGTAGAGCATGTTCAAATCAATTTTTACTGGTTGAATATTTTTTCAATTTTTATTCACTAATCCATGCACATTTACACGTCATTTTTATCCGGAAAATCATGACGATTTCCTTTCATATCTTATACACTCCCAGGCTAGGGAGTATCTATTGTTATACTCTTTTTACATAACCACAAATTATCAATTATCTGATGAGAAATGATAAAGAAATTGAAACATAGTAGCAACAATTAACACTATATTCAAAGCAATTTTTGAAAATATTTTACAATGGTTTTCTACTTGTTATCATTTGAGAAATATTTTCCTGACCTAATGAAAAATAACGTCTCATTTCCCCATGTGCACTTTCTAACACAATCACAAATAGATCGGCCGCTGCTGCGGCCGATAATAATATAGCACACAGTTCTATGGTGTCCGGATAGGGCCATTTGCGTTAGCGCGACATCGCGTTCAGATAAACGAGACATCGCGCTAACACACAACACGCCATCGCGCTAACACACAACACGCCGTCGCGCCAACGCAACTTTGCACAACACGCCGTCGCGCTAACATAACTTTGCACAACGCGCCGTCACGCTAACACACAACACGCCGTCGCGCTAACACAACTTTGCACAACACGCTGTCGCGCTATAACACAACTTTGCACAACGCGCCGTCGCGCTAACACACAACGCGCCGTCACGCTAACGCACAACACGCCGTCGCGCTAACACAACTTTGCACAACACGCCGTCGCGCTAACGCAACTTTGGAAGTTTCACAGTTTAGAAAGAAGTCGTATCCGGAAATATAAGACTGCGCATGCTTAACCATATAATGGATGAAATTCTGGATGAGATTGGTCTTGGGAATCTTAAAGGTACGGAAGCGTATTAGGGCCGCAGCAGTATTTTTTTTTAATTTGTTATAACAAATTATTAATTTGTTATAACAAATTATTAATTTGTTTAAACAAATTGATAATTTGTTTTAACAAATTGATAATTTGTTATAACAAATTGATAATTTGTTATATCAAATTAATTATTTGTTATAACAAATTAATAATTTGTTGTAACAAATTAATAATTTGTTATAACAAATTAATGATTTGTTATAACAAATTAAGAAAAAATACTGCTGCGGCCCAAATACGCTTCCGTAGCATGCGCAGTCTTATATTTCCGTACACGACTTCCTACTAGACTGTGAAACTTGCAAAGTTGCGTTAGCGCGACGGCGTGTTGTGCAAAGTTGTGTTAGCGCGACGGCGTGTTGTGTGTTAGCGCGACGTCGTGTTGTGCAAAGTTGCGTTAGCGCGACGGCGCGTTGTGCAAAGTTGTGTTAGCGCGACGGCGTGTTGTGTGTTAGCGCGACGGCGCGTTTATCTGAAGGCGATGTCGCGCTAACGCAAATGGCCCTATCCGGACACCATAGTCACCATACTAGTCTAGTATCTCGCCTATAAAACATACCAACACTTACAGCATGCATGGTTCAACAAATTAATGATGACCAAAATATGACAGACCGCGTGTGACAGAATTACTTCACACTATCAAACAAGACCCTTTTCGATGAAATACGGGATTACAGAGAATTACAGAATTACAGAGAGTTTGTATAAGTGAGTCAATCTAGGAAAATTCTTTGTTAGATTCAGTTTGTTCAATCTACGGAGATTCTTTGTGAAATTCAGTTTGTTCCATCTACGAAACAGGTTCTAAATTGTATTTTGTGAAATTTATATATTTGGACTTACAACAAATTCTAAACTTTAAAACCGACTGATCAATTAACTATATTATAATCACAGGAGGGTGGATATTCCTAAGTTCATAGGCGTAGGAAGTGGGGTGGATGGGGCTAGAGGACTTAGCCCCACCCACCCCCTTTTTAGCAAAGATAAACATAATTACATGTATAGACATTGAACATTGGGGCGTATAGCTTAAGCCCCCCTCCCCACTTTGAACAGGCACGTTACAGTGTAGTCAAAGAAGGGTAAGTGGTTGTATTAGAGAGAAAAAAAAATGGAACTGTAGGAAGTTCGATCTTAAACCCCCCTTAACCAACCCCCCCCCCCAAACACACACACACGAGATAAGATTTTCGGGTTTGTACTATGGGCATTTTTCCTTTCTTTGTTTGTCAAGTTTTTTTATCCTCTTAATAAATAAGCCCCCACTTTCAATTTGCTTCCGACGCTAATGAAGTTTTTGTGACAGACGGACAGTTAGACAGACGGACAGAGGAGTGAGATTTAATCAATTAATGTCCTCCCCTAGACTAAAAAAATAAATGAGAAAAAAAAAATTCGAGCTCGCCAGGATTCGAACCTGGAATCTTCTGATCCGTAGTCAGACGCGTTATCCATTGCGCCACGAGCCCATATGTCCCTTTTATCGATAAGAATAAATATAAAGATTTTTATTGAAACGCACTTGCAGATTGAACAGGAAACATTTTTAAAGGAAATATCAGCTGAAGTTTTCAAACCACACCTGTTTATTAATGTGTACAGAACCTCTGTTCTATCCACAATATAATCTAGAGCTTCACCCAGAAGCCTTCTTGCAAGCTATAACATAAAGAAAACGATCCGGTTTTAACATTTACAGTCTTGCAACATTTTCCGGGTTAGGTTTTGTAAACATTCGTGACTTTGAAATACGTTATATATTTTGAAATGCTTCAGATTTTTCTGTGGTGTTCAGTTATATCTATAATTCTTTATTTAACAAACAATACATTCAGATATTATACGAAGTATGGAGCCTATCTCCTGGCGTTGACAATTATTTCCACTATAACAGTTCTATGGATTTTGTTGACATGCAGATCTAAAAGCAGTGAAAATTTTAGGTAAACTTAAATCTAAAGTCATTCACTAGTGTGTTATCTTCATTACTTGTCTATGAAAACTTGGTACAAGTTTGTTTACATTTTCAATTTAGAACTGTGGTAAAATCTGAAAATATTGATCGAATACATTAATTTTTAATGTTGAATAAAGCAATCTAACTTAGCCAGGTCCAGTACAATCTCTTGATTCACCTATATAGCTTTAAATAGCTATATAGCTTTATTAAGCTATTCAGAATAGCTTTATTTAGCTATTTATATTCAGTTTTTCACAAAAAAGTTTTTTGCTGAAAATAAACAAAAAGTCGCATGTATTTGACTCTTCATATTTGTACTATGGGCTATCAAAACAACAACCAAAATCAAAGATAGTTCTAACTTTGCAGCTTTTGAATACTTTTATGCGAAAAGATAATTTCTATTAGACTAACTGTCCACTAACTTGCAGGCGCGGATCCAGAAATTTTTCCCAGGGGGGATCCACCCCTGTCAAAAAAAAAACCCCCAGAAATTTCTTGACAAGCAAAAAAAAAAAAAAAAAAACTAAAGTCGCCAAAAGTTCAAATTCCGATTTTGTGGGGGGGGGGGGGGGGGGGGGGGGGGGGGTAGGCGATGACTTTTAATGCTTCAAATCTTTAACTTTTCAGACAACTTTTATACAAGTTCACATTTACCAGGGGGGTCTGCATTTTCTGAGGGGGGGGGTCCAAGTTAACTTTTTCCTTGCTTTTGTATATAAATTTAATAACCTGGAAATTCCAGGGGGGGGGGTCCTGACCCCCCCCGACCCCCCCTCTAGATCCGCGCATGAACTTGGGTGCCTTGAAGCAAGGATAAGTATGATTGCTTCTCATTGTGCTGAACTGTTACCAATCAATTATCTTGTTGACCATAATTGGCCTTCTTTATAATATCATTGCAGAAGTAACTGTATCAATTGCTTTATATAGCCCCAAAACTTGTAGAACTTTGAGTACAAAGTCTCTCAAGGAGACGTAATTTGATGAGTAATTTTTACATACATTATTTTAAGAAGAGTTCAAAGTTGTATATCATCACTGCACCAAGGTGCGCTTTTTTGTACAAACTGAGAAAATTACACCTTTAAGAAAAAAGTGTAGTAAAATAGCTAAATTAAGCTATACTGAATAGCTTAAAAAAGCTATATAGCTATTTAAAGCTATATAGCTAAATCAAGAGATTGTACTGGACCTGTTAGCTTATTCCCTATTCATCATGTTCATGCACATCTTTATAACTCTTAAAATCTAATAATTCATATTTTTTAATAGTAAAAACCAATGACAAATATAATTTCCTTATAATTTAGAAATTTTTACCTTTACTTAAAGACTGTGAACTTTAAAAACAATAATTAAAATCATTTTTTTCCCAAGATTTGCTATTTGGTCCCTTAGGAAATTGAAGTACCTCTATGGCTGGGAATTCGAGACTCATGGCAAAGAATATTTAATGAATGATAAGCCGTTAGTAGTTCTTGTGAACCATCAGAGTGGTTTAGATTTATTAGGTGAGTCAGGCAGTGCTTTACACCTTTGTTTCAGACACATATTCTTTAAGATGCAAATATTATGTTTAATTCTACCATGTTTTATTGTAATGATTCAAGACAATGTGTTTGGATAGTTCTAAGAACTTAAACTATCCTGTCTTTAATTGATATGTTGCATTACACAAAAAAATATCTTTGTTTACTGTTACATTATTTTATATCACTACACTTTTTTTTTATTTTATTTTTTTATCACAAATTTATATTGTAATACACATATTATATTGACATTTTTTTTCTTCTCAGGTTTAATGGAATTATGGGATTGGCGAAATCATTGTACAGCTGTAGGCAAGCGATCTCTTATGTACATGGGAGTGTTTGGACTTGCCTCTTATCTTTGTGATGGAGTGTTTTTAGATAGACATGATCATGCTAAAGCTGTTCAACAAATGAATGCAGTAGTAGATCAGATACATTCTAAAAAGGTAGAAGGCAGTCATGTGGCATCTATATTGTATCATTCTTTGGAAATACTTTTCGGAATGTGAAAAATGATATTGCAAATATCAACCTCAGTCAAAACAATAAACCTAACTAAAAAATTCAGAGCATTTAGGGTCCATGATTAAAATCCAAACTTCTGGCCTGGGGACCATAAAACTTGGACAAGCTCACTTTTGATCTCAGTCTCACTTTTCCCTAAAAAATACATGTATCCATTATTTTATATCACTACACTATTGTAATTGATATCACAGAGATTTATATTGTAATACACATATTATATTGACATTTTCCCTTTAATGGAATTATGGGAAAAGTGAGAGCTGTAGATCAAAAGTGTTTGGACTTGCCTCTTATCTTTGTGATGTTTTTTATGGCCCCCAGGCCTAGTGCCCAGCATCAGAATTAATTAAATTCAGGAGGTTTATGTTAAATTTTTTTTATTAAACGTTACAAATCATAAGTGTTTATTTTCTTTTTGTATCATTTCAGTTAAAAGTATTTGTTTTCCCAGAAGGTACTAGAAATCGTAATGGTTCTATGTTAGCATTTAAAAAGGGAGCCTTTCACCTGGCCATTCAATCTAAGGTACATGTCAAAATTTATTCTTAATATGTATACTATAATTTATACTACATCATTAGTAAGAAAATTAAAAGCAAGAAAAGATGATGATCATAAAAAGGATGACTTGTTTGGTAATACATGTAGTAGAGAATGTTAAAATAAATTGAATTTTTTTCTCTTAAAGGTGCCAATTGTTCCTGTTGTTTTTTCGTCATACAAATCCATCTACAGCAAAGAAAAGAAAATCTTTAAATCTGGTAAGTTATATGTTGTGCACAATTAGTACACAAAGAATAATATCTATAAGTGGGGGGTGGGGGGCTATTTGAAAGAGAAAAAATTTCAAACCTGAAAAAAACAAGCAAAAAAAAAAAAGGGATAACATGTCAATTGTCCTAACAATAAAATCCTATTTTGGGGGGGGGGGGGGGGGGGGGGGGGGAGGGTGAGATCAGTACCAAATTTTTCTTCTCAACACTACCAATTAACTTTTCTCGACTACATTGCTTGAACGTGCCTGTTGAAAGTGGGGGGAGGGGGGGTGCTTAATCTACACCCCAATGTTTGATATCTATATGATGTCTGTCTTTGTGAAAAAAGGGGGAGCTAAGCCCAAGTCCCCCCCCCCCCCTCCTGGTTGCAGCACCTTCGGCTTAACAACTTCTACTACATGCATATGAGGATTCCATTAGAAATAAGCCTTTTTTGGTTTTAATGGGTCATCCTCCTCATTATTTTATGAGTACAATATAGACTATAACTAAAAACATCTTACAGTGCTCTCAGATAGATTAACCATTACATGTACTTGTTTTTTTTTTGACAGGAAAAATCTGCATTACTTGCCTACCTCCTGTTTCTACGGCTGGTCTGACCAAAGAAGACATTCCTGAGTTATTGGATTCTATACGGAATTCCATGGTAGAAACTTATAACAGAACTTCATCTTCTGGTGAAAAAACAGAGTAGCTCGAAATCTCTCCTGATATAGGCCTGGATAGACAATGAACCTGGCCTAATCATCATTAAACTGGGGGCATTGTGTTTACAATATTTTCTTTTTATCTGTTTATTATTAGCTGCAGATCTGTAGATCGCTGGTCTAAAAAATGTGATGAATGACCAGAGAGTTACAGTGCCACCCATAGAAAAAAATGTATATTTATTGCACACAAAATGTTCTGCTCGATTTTGGATTAATTTCTCCAAATTTTTACCTCAATTATACAAAAGCTCGATTTTAAAATATTTGCAATTACTTTCATATATGATATATAAATGCATGAATCGTGTTTAGCATTATTATCATGCCATCAAAAATGGCAGTGTAAATAGGCAAATTTTTTGATGGTCTAAATTTAAGGCCCATAAAGGCTATTTACAATATTTATGAGGAATGTTTTGTTGTGGAAATAGTAAAAGAATAAGTAAGGAACACACAGTAAGTAATTTTTGAGATGGCAGTTTAAAAACACAGAGTATAAATAAATTGAGAAATTGTACACTTTTGTGTGTGCAATAAATAAACACTTTTTCAATGGATGGCACTGTAGCTGTCTGGTCTGTCAATATATTTTTTGGAAAGCTACAGTTCTGCAGCTATTCATTATTACTGTAAGTTTATTAACCATTGAACATTTCTGTTTTAAAATTAAGGTTTTAGTTTGAAAAAAGGGGAGTTCATGTACATTACCTTCTTTAATTACCAAATATATACATTTTTTATTGAATTTTGAAAATGACATTACAAAGGCCCAGATAAATATTTAGCTTAATGCATTTAAAAAAAAATTCTGATCCTATTCTAATTATTATTTTTCTTTTTTGCCTTTTGGAAAAAAAGAATAGAGTTCAAATTAAAAATGCAGATATTTGAAAGAAGATCTGAGGAATAACTAAAAATGAATGTTTTTATACTCCTGAAACAAAGTTTTTGGGTAGATATACTAATATCACCTTGTCCATTTGTCTGTATGCCTCTGCTTGTGTCTGTGCAACCATGTCTGGATCATAAATTCACAACTAAGATAGATTGGTAGCTCATACTCGAAATAACAAAAGATAATTGCTTAAAACTTGATGGTGTTAGTTGTTGTTGACCTTAGGTCATTATGGCAAGGTCAAGATCTAATGCCAGTCAAATTATATATAGTTAGTTGTTCTTGACCTTAGGTCATTATGGCAAGGTCAAGGTCAATTGCCAGTCAAATTATTTATAAATATTGCTTAAAAGACTTATGGTGTTACATGATCTTAACCTAAGTCATTTTGGCGAGGGCAAGGACACTTGCAGTCAAATTATATATGTATACATGAAGCTCATTCTTGAAAAAAAAAGACTTAAGGTGTTATGTTATTGTGACCAAGGGTCATTTTGGCAAGGTCAGGGTCACTTGCTGTCAAATTGTACAGGAATTTTTATATATAAAAGAGTATTTATGATCTGATGTATGTTGTGATCCTTGGCCCAAAGTGATGTGGAAAAACTGCAGAAAGATTAATATTACTTATAGTCTAAGGGTCTGTCCCGACATTGTGCCAAAGATGCATTTTTAGAAAAGTTCATACAACTATTGTTATGCAATGTAGGGCTTAGTGAAGGTAACAATTATGACTGTAATATTGCATGATACATTTTCCTTTATACATGTAATAGTTCATGTCTTCTACTTTCCCTTTTGATATTCATAAATTTATTTTCTCATGTGTGCCATGCTTTTTACACATACATGTATTTTGAAACACCAAAACTTGTTGAATAAACTTGAAAAATAAATAAAAGTTTTAATAATTGTATGTAGTGATATGGGTAGTTATATTATAGAGATGATAGTATTAACCATAAATCAAACCAAAATTGTATGTAATGTATGATGATCTCAATTTGCATTTTTTTAATACCCCCGCTTGAAAAGTGGGAGGGTATATAGTAATTGTTATGTCCGTCTGTCTGTTACGCTTTGGGGTACCCATGTCTTATCCGCAACACCTCTCATACCACTGAATGAAATTTGATGAAACTTTCACAGAATCTTTATTACATATTGCCATTGTGCACCTCCTATTTTACTTTTTGACCTGACACATATTTTTGGTATCCCAAAACAAAACACGGACACTCCCATTATATTCATATGGGAGGCGAGGGTATCATTTAGTGAGCTCATTGCTCACAGTACCTCTAGTTAAAAACTAGAGGTACTGTGAGCGATGAGCTCACTAAATGATACCCCCCGCCTCCATATAGTTATAATTGAAAAGTCCATGTTTTGCTGTGTCCGGGAAAAGCAAAATATGTGTCGGATCAAAAAGTAAAATAGGAGGTGCACAATGGCAATATGTAATAAAGATTCTGTGAAAGTTTTATCAAATTTCATTCAGCGGTATGAGAGAAGTTGCGGATAAGAGATGGGTACCCCAAAGCGTAACAGACGGACGGACGGACAGACGTACAGACGGACGGAATTAACGATTACTATATACCCTCCCGCTTTTCAAGCGGGGGGTATAAAAATAGTTTGACTTTTATAACAAGTGGTTAGAGTGTTTGCTTTCGAGTCGCAGAGTAAAGAGTTGATCTATACGTCGCAGGTTCGAATCCCAGTGCGGGATGAGAAGACCGGCACTTCGTATAAACCGAGGTCCTGCGTCGCAATAGGTGCTGACACGAAAAAAGATCTCTCACTGCTCAAAACTGCTGAGTACAGGTCTAAATCTGCAGTCATCCACCGGCAAATGGTGGCTCTTCAATATGGGCGATAAAATCTAAGAGACTCTCAAGTGCTTCGTTCTGTTTCTGTTGTTCAGTTCCGCCAACATCCTCCAACGTAAACTTTAACATTTTCACCATGTCTTATGATGACCCCATTAAATGTTATACAGTATAACATGACGGGCATCAACAAGTAGCCCCCCCCCCCTTCCCCATGACTTTTATAAACATTAATCCCTCTAAAATGTTAGCCTCTGGCTCAGACACCAGCATTTTGACCGTTGGTCATTAAAATGAATACTAAACTCCTTCCAAATAATTTAAAATCTATGTAACCTGTATCCAACACTAATTCATCAGGTTAAGGTTTAGTTGGTAATCATAATGTATTAAAATTTATTACAGTGTACCTGGATTTGTAGGAGGTAAGCTGCTGTTTATAATCCTCTCAAACTTTTTTGAGAGCAGAGGTCCATTATAGATAGAACAATTACCTCTAATATGCCATAGGCGTCGGAACCGGGGGGGGGGGGTGGCTAGGGGGGGCTTGGCCCCCCCCCCCCACTTTTTTTTCCAAATATATACTTACTATAGACATAGAACCTTGTTTCGTATGTTTAGCCCCCCACTTTCCACAGACGTCTCGCAGTATAGGCTAAAAATGGGTAAAGTTTTGGTGTTTGGAGAAAAACTTAGGTACTAAAGTTCGACCCCCCCCCCCCCCACACACACACACACACGAAATAGGAATTTCGCCTCTGGGAAATGGACATTACCTTTTTTATTCTTGTCAGGTTTTTTTGAAGGTAAAAAAAAAAATTTTATTACACTTAGCCCCCCCCCCCCCCACTTTCAATTTGCTTCCGACGCCAATGTATGCTCTTTATTTTTGTCCATGGGAAGAAAAGGAATTCACCCGTAGACAGATCTCAGCGAGCCGATTCTAACACTATGTACGAGTAGATCGTTAAATGTGAATAATTCTCAGGAGGCAAATTGTTTTTATCAAGGTCTGTGATTATTTGTAAATAAGTAAAAAATATCTTTTAAAATAATTCAAGTGCATAGGACATTCCAAGATAGCTTCCTCCTTTAGATCTCATTTTAAACTCAATTGCTGGATACATTTTCCGTCACATCCTAATTACTTTGTTGATACACCGTGAATGACACGTTCATTTACAAACTCAGCATTATAGCATTTTAAGCTTGTTTGATGAACGGTAAAGAAACGCTCTTCGTCATCTTTCTATCGCTTTTACCCGTGGGAGTTTTTGGTAGCTTTTCGTGGAACACGATGTACTTTGGTAAAAAATATGTTCAATGAATCTGGCTTCCTCAGAAACATTGAGCTCTTGTTTGATAAAATCTTTGAGGGATTCCTCAGTCAAGGCCATCCCGTCCTTTTTAACAACAGCTGCAAAAGGAATGTCGTCACAGTGATTTTCGTCTTTAATGGAGAAGACCATCACTTCCTTAACACAGGGATTCCTTTTAATAATTTCTTCGAGAAAGGATGGTAGCACCTTAGCTCCAGAGATTTCCATCGTATCAGACACTCTGCCAAATACTTCAAGGCAGCCAGCAGAATTAATATGTTCGAAATCGTCTGTTTTGTACCATCCAGCAGGGGTACTAGTAATAACAGCCGCGGTTTTTTTGGCTTCATCGATGTAACCTGGGAATGGTAAACAACTCCGCAAAAGCAGTTCTCCTTTCGTTCCAAGAGGAACCATCATTCCGTCCTTTCCTACAATTTTCATTTCCACCGCATATAACGGCGATAGACCAACGTATTTGTCATCAGGCGAACTATACAGCTTTCCAGCCACAAACCACTATCTGTTGAGCCGTATAGAACGGAAAGGGCGTCGTACCTTTTCCCGATGGCTGTCAGACAAGAGACTGGAACAGGCTGACCTCCTGTGATAACTGTTTGAAACTTCCAAGAAAAATCTTTTGACATCAGTAACTCTAAAAGGAAGGGAACGAGGATCAATGCGTGTTTTGGTTTCGCTTCCTGTATAATACTTGAAGTGTATTTCATTGCTGCTTCAACAGAAGGAAAAGAAAGCGTGTTTATCTGGGTTATAAGTTTTCCTCCTATAATGAGAGCCATCCAGGGATACCCCCCTATCCAATAAAATGGACGGTCATTGTAAAACGAAAACTCTTCATCTTTTTTAACATACCAAACAGTTGCGTCCAGAAAATTATATGCAGATTCAACTATACGATGATGACTATATTTTACAGCTTTTGGTAACCCTGTACTCCCGGATGTCAGAATAATAGCACACGTATCATCTGGGTCTATATCTGGTAACTTGACTTTCTCCTTGCTGTAAACAACTTCTATTGTAAAACATGCGTCAGAAGATTGCAGGGGTGTCTGTAATACGACCCATTTTACTGATGGTATATCGGAGCCGACAACAACACCAGTTTTTTGATCCACTTGTAGGAATTTTTGACATATTTCCCAGTGAACGTCATTTTCTCCAGGATCAAAAAGGAGCAGTTTACATCCTCCGACTTTGCTGATAATTCTTTTTATGCTCTCTCCAGATTTGTCATGAAAATTGAAGTGTAAAGGGCATGCCCCTGCAAGCTGTGCACCAAACGTACTCACTAGCCATTCAATACTGTTGTTTCCACCTATTCTTATTACGTCGCCCTTATTTATCCTTAGCTGCAAAAGTCCCTTTGCCAGCAATACTGCATCGTGGTAAAGTTTTTCATAGGTTATGGATGTTTTTGGTTTGCCATAGTTGTAGACAACACATGCCTCCTGTTTTGGCTTTTCGGTGGCCCACTTTTGTAGAAGTTTAGACACCGTAGTATACGGTGCTCTTGTAACTTGGCCAGATCTTAAATAACTTTGGTCACAATTCATCTCCACCGCGTCCCTGATCCCAGTTGTATTTTCCAAGGTTTGTGCCTCAATACAAAGAACGAATAGAAATTTGGAATGTTACGTAAACTTAAGATCAATTTTACACATCAGTAGCTTGAAACCTTAGTTTACGGAGGCCGACAAGGGCCAAACAATTACGAAGAGAAATTACAAAAAATATAAGATTATAATGTGTGCTTTATGAATCATAGCACTAAATCAGAATGCTTTGATGAATAAAAACCATTTAAGTGAAACAAAATTTATAAAATTGATTGATTGTATTTTGTTTAACGTCCCTCTCAAGAATTTTTCACTCATATGGAGACGTCATCACTTGCCGGTGGAGAGCCAATGAGCAGGGAGGGATCTTTTTCGTGCCAGCACCTACTGCGACACGAGACCGGTTAATTTTTATACGGTCTCCACAGAAGGACCGGTCTCCAACTCCCACAGTGGGGTTCGAAAATTTATAAGAAACATAGGGTTGTTTACAGACAAAAAAGGTCTATATTTTCTGCAAAAGCTCCGATGATTTGTCTACAGAGAAAGTGACGATTTTAAAGACCAAGAAACCAGAAAATTGTTTTCGACATTAACTGAATTTTTTCTTTACGATTTTCTTAAATTGAGAATGATTTTTATAAGATTTTCCTAAATATTTACTTTTCTTTATTGAACTTATGTTTCTGGGGTAGTGTAAATTGATTTTAAAATTTAATTTGTATTTCAACAAAAATGAATTATGGAATATATTATAGGATCCTTTTATCACAAACTTTTTTAAATGCCATTATGACATATACAGTATTAAAAAAAATTAATCAATAGGCAAGTAGAAATCGGCGCTTACTGACTTCCATTACTTTTACAAGAGTTCAAACTGAATATCTACATATAATTTACATCTAATTGAAAGAGATTTTAAGATGATGTATTGGGTCAAATGCAAGTAGTTTTATTCCGAATAGTCGTGAATTTAAAACTTGATACTTCGATAACGATAAAATTGAATATGTTGCAGCGGTTTTATCTCAACAGAAGTTAAGACATTTTGAGCATGGGATATCGAATGCAGAAAAGCTTTTTTGTTTGGATATTCATTGGAGAAACATGTGTTTCAAGAGAGAAGAAAATACATGAGAATGTTAATGTGGTGAGTGGTTTGTATCTCTTTGGCTATATGA